GTTATCAAATCTCTTGAAGTACAGGCTGGCTCGACACTAGCACCTGCACGACTGTGGTGTGCACAGTGTCTCTCCCGTTGTCTTTAGCTAAGCTAACCTTTGTGATAGAAGGTTAAATTAACTGACAGACATGAGATTGGTATTGATTGTTTAATTTTCTCCCAAAATGTAGTCTTAAATAGGGCATTTCTGAGTTATAAATAAGTTGATAATGTTTAAGTTTAGCAGGACTGTGCAGGAAGCAATGAAAAGAAGGCCTGAGATAACTTTTTTCCCCTTTTTAATAATCTGCCCTGCAGATTTTGGCTATAAAAAAAACTTGTGGCCTAAAGGGTAAACAGTCTGGCATTATTTTGCTCGAAGGACACAGTGTACCTCCCGCCTCTTCAGCCTGTCACATCACCCCTACACCCACAACCCATTCTCTGAATTCCCAAGCTGATGTATCTGAATGGACAGAGAGACTCTGTGCCCAGAGAAGCCACGTTCAGTAGAACTGACAGTCCCGAGAACACCGTTTCTGTCAAATGCAAGGACAGCCAATTTCTCTGTCTTATCTTCTAATTGTAACAAGCTTGTCTTTCTGACAGTTAAGATCCTAGGGCTAATTAGTGAGACAATGGAAGACCAGGGGTATCATTATGTCACTTCTGTGGTGTTTTTTTTTAAACCTAGACTGAAAGAATGGCAGAACATGGAGCACACCACAAGGAAAACACAATTCCACAGAGAGCAATAGCTCATCCTCCAAAACACAACTGTGTCAGGGAAAAACATTTATCAGACTACTGATTTGGGAATAGATTCACCATGACTCAGAATTCCCACATCGCCTTTTTACAAAGCCTCCCTGGTGACATGAATAGGGAAAATAATGCCGTGTCGCCACAAGATGTTTTTGCTTCACGCGATATTATCTCTACAGAGCTCTCCAGCTGTGGTCTGTAAACAACAGAATCTGTATCTTGTAGCCACGCATTATTAAGATGTGAACACAATCCAGCTATCACGTTCCCACGCCTTGTTAGCTCATAGCCAGGAGTCATTGATCTTGTTGCCTCACAACAATATTTTTTACCACTCATGTAACCAGGGGGCCTCCTTTTCATTTTTAGAGTTAGAATGAAGATCTTTATATTTGTGTGATTTGTCTTACTGATATCTGGGCATGTGTGCGTATGTTATGAAGTACGCTGGTTTTCAGAGGAAGCAGGGTATAATCAGTCAAATCAGTTGTGACTCACACAGTGCACACCACGTGCCAAAGGTCTCTGCTAACAGTTTCCATAGTGGTGACTTTTAGGTGAATCAGTTTTATGGTATTATGATAAAATGATTTCTTATATGGCAACGAACATATACAGGAAACAGTCAGGTCAAGTAAATCTATTTATAAGCACATTTAACTACACAGGTTGACCAAAGTGCTGTAGGCGAGGTTATTCAGACATATTGTGTCATAGCAATGGTTGTCATTTCCTCCTGAGATCCCAAGGCATTCTAAGACCAAATTAGATATGTAATCCCTCTAAAGAGTTTCCTGAAAAATCTCTAAAGAAATGTTGCTAGAAAGCCTTCAAAGCAGATGCCTGAACCAACTCAGCTGTGAAGTAATTCCTTCCTAACAGGATTTTTACGAGAAATGTCAAATTTGGGTCTTTTGTATTTAAGTTTGCCTAAAATCAAGTTGGTAAATTTATAGTTCTGTTAACACAAAATCTTGTTTAGCGTTTCCCTGCTCAGTTGTGGTAGAGAAAACGCAAAAAAGACATTTTTCCCTAAAGGACTTTGCTGTCTCAGATTGGCCTTAAATGCACTTAATTCCTGAAACAAGGATTGTGCCCACTAATATGTAGGCATGCTAAGGAAATAAGGTTCGGTTTTGACAGTGACTGTAAACTTCTTAATAGATTTAAAAAAAAAAAACAGCAACAAAAAAACAAATTATTAGAAAAATCAAGAAAGTAGTGCGAGCTTAAAAATTTGATGTGATACTGATTTTTCCTGCTGTAACTTCTCTGTAAATTACATGTTCCATGTTCTCTTTAACTTACTCTCATATAGTGTGCCTCATATTAAACAATTTCCTGTAGTTGCACAAAACCACAGAAAGATACATGAGTTAGAGCCAGAAATCAGCCTTTGCACTCTGTCAAAGAATATGAGCAATGACATTATCTTTCCTGTCAGTGTCCACTAGCCCAGTCCACTATATGTAGCATTCATTTTTTTAAAAAGATGTGTGTGGTAAAGCAGCGCAGATAGGATAAATGGAATATACTAGAGTAAGCATAAAATGTGATTTATTTTTATAATATTATTATACATAGATATATATACATAATATATAGTAAGCATTTCTTTTTCCAGTATTCCAGCACATACACAGATGGTGCTTAACTAATATTGCATTGATTTATATTAGAAATCTCATCCTCTACTTTTATCACATCCCATCTACACAAGTTGTTCCTTTTCTATAGCTGATGCCTTCCATTCTGTAGCCCAGGATAAGCAAATATGCCACAGAGGTAACTCTATGCTTCGGTAACCTGGGTCATGCATGCCACTGAAATGAGTAGCTGTCTAGCTAGCCAAGACAATCCCCTTCCCCAAAGCTAGTTGGACATGTCTCCTATAATAAAATAAAGATGCCCCCCCTCCCCGAAGCTTCCATCTCCCATGACCTATTTTCTTTATGGCTAACGGTTGGTGGCTAGCTGCTGAGTGGTAAATGCACAAAGGACAATACACAGATGAGAGCACACAAAATGTGATTATAACTGTTTGACTAGGATCTGACCCTAACTAAAGGACAGCTGTTTTTTGCTGAGTTAGCTATCCAGAGTAATAGTCGGTAGTGTTATTAATAGTATAATAGTGTGAGAAATGTCCTCACAAAAAGAGAGGAAAGGAAGTTGGTGATCTCCTCAAAGATGCTAATGAGGTCAGACAGGAGACCACTGCACCGACAAGACGGGAAAAGCTGGAAAGCAGAAGCTGAACAGCATGTAGTCCCAAAGGAGTAGTTGAGTCACACAGGGGGTTGGAGGCAAAAACACGACAGGGTGACATCTCTGGAGATGATACAGGAGCCATGAACTGGGAGAAGCTTAGAAGAAGCAGCAACACTTAACCACAAGACACAGCCATAGGCCTGGCTGTGAGCACTCCGCTGGGTGTCCCTGCTGAGCCATCGTATACACAAACAGACAGAAGCAGGATACATAAAATTCAGTGCAGCCTGTGTAGAGGAAAGTCCCAAATGGTGCTGCAAATCTATTTCCACATCACAGATACACCAAGCCTACCCCAAGGATTCACACACTGTACAAACTCAACTCAATAACCTCCCCCCTCATCCGAGCCTGTGACATTTGCAGAGAAGACCTTAAAGAGGGGGATAAGAGCAAAGACAGAGCTGGAGAAACGGGGGTGGGGAGGGGCTCCTCCTCTTCCTCTTTTCTCATTAGAATTCTCTCATCAGTCTTCCCCACAGAGCAGGGGCTTGACATGTCAGGGTTTATTAATTGCTCCAGGAAATATTATTGACCTGGACCTTCTGCGCCTTCTCTCCCCACTGCGGTCGGTGTCTCTGCTCTGCTGCCTCCGCATTCCTTTGGTGTCCTGCCTGGACCCATTACAGGACACTGCGGCACAGCGTGGAGGCTTCAACACAGTGTCTTCATTGACTATGCACTTGGCCTGGGTTTTCTTTTCACTGCAGCTGCAAAGCTCCACCTCACACACACATACGCTCTCTCTCCCAGGCACACCTGCAGCCTTGGGGAGAGAAAGCGCACACTTCATTATGGTGTGATAGAAGCTCTGTGTTGGTGCCCTTTGCTGAAATTCCAACTTTTGGAATGCTTTGGTGAAAAAAAAAAATCTTTTTAAAGGTGCAAACATCTCAAGGCTTATTGGTTTTTAAATCCCACCAGTAGTTTTTTTTTCTTTTTTCTTTCCTTTTTTTAAAAAGAGGTGCTTAAATCAGTCCGATGTGAATCCAGTCTGACTGCTCAAACATTAGAATCAATTAAATTATCTGGTTCCATCTACGAACGGCAAAAAGATAATTCAGTTGCGACTCTTGGATGTCACTGTACAAGGACAATCTGAAAATCTGTGTGTGTGTGCAAGTCTTGTATATTTGTGAATTTGAACAAACATTTGCGTTTGCGAGCAGTGAAGGTGACAAAAGGAAAAGTATCTAATGTTTTTTGTGAAACCTCTTGGTGTGCGTCGCTTGATTTCATGCCTCGTGATCGTACTCTCAACTTGGATAGGACATTCATTTATAGCTCAACGTCATATGACATCTAGTGCTTTTGCTGGCACACATGGGGTGTGACTGTGGGAGGTTTCTTTAACTTTAAAGCCCTATTCTTGGTATATCCTGGAATTGAATTGCATTGGAAACTGCCGAAGGAAAACAGTTGTTAAGACTACTAACTTCTTTCCTAATCTGAAAATACATTGATGAGTCGAAATGGTTGTAATAATTGTGCTGCCATAACCTTAACCATCATGTGAAACCCCTTTCATATGAAATTACTTTAAATGAAAGCTTTAAAGGATGTGTTTTTCCTTGGCCTGTGTATTACCTTTGGATGCTTTATTGCTGGATTTATTAAGGAACTATGTTATTTTTTTTTACCAGATTTAAAAAAAACAAAACAAAGAACAATAAAAAAAAAAACTGGTCTATTGTGCCACCATGTGGACATGTTTGGCATTACACTGGGGTTTTTATGACAGCACTAATGAATGACCAGGATATGAGTGTGTTGTTCCATTGTGTCCCAGCGAACTTTGCACCGATGAGCACATTCCTGAAAGCAACGGTCATGAATAAAGAAATGAGCCTCATATCAACCAACCATGGCTTTTGTTTCCTCTGAATAGTGATATTATCCAACTCCCACATCCACATGAATCTTGAGTTTGCAGGCATGTCTGGCACTAAATTTAATATCCGTCTTCATTTTGTTTTTCTGCAGTCACAATGGTTCTACTTTTGTTTGTCACGACAACAACAGCAAACAATTCCACAACAGTGAACAACAACAGTAATGACGGTAAGAGCACAAACAAGGTCACTTCTACCTTAATGTGTGAGACTGCACAGCACTCAACAATCTGTGACAGCGACCAGATCCCATCCCCACACACTGCACTCGGTGCTTTTCCATAAGATATAATTATAATGCATCTTCTGCAATGCAGGCATCAGCTTGATAATAGCCTTTTTTTCTTACACAGCCTTGTTATTACCAGATCACAGTGAACTTCAGGAACCCTGGACAGTAATTTAAGGCTTATTGTACATCTTTATAAACACAGATAATGGTCGGCTGTGTGGCTGTGACTCTTGGTTGAGTCGCCACTCTAAGAGTCTGTTGTTTTCTGATCGACACTCCAGGAGGATGAAATATGCTGATGCTTATCTCTATAGACAAAATACTGCTAGGGCCAGTTATTAAATCAGCTCTGTGGCCACAAGAGTTTACTGGAGGTGCTTTGCTTCATCAAGTATTTATGTGATGAGTTCATGTGATGCACACATGAATGCTGCAGAGCATTTGCGCACACAGGCACATATATTATCAGTCTTGCCCCCTCTTCCTGTTTCTTTGTTGGTGGTGTTACATGACCCCTGGCTGTGACTTTCCTTCTCCTTTAAACAGAAACCACAGGTAACCAATACATCATCTCCACTGTGCTGGTTGTGTTCCTGCTGGTGCTCATCATCGCACTGCTAGCCTGGTACTTCCTCAGGTAAAAACTCCCACCCTGCTGGGATTCAGTTACTTCACCTTATCCCTCTCCCTGCTCTTCACTCACTGGCTATTAGCCAGGCTCAGGGGCAGAGCTCCGGTGACAAACACTTCCTCCTTTAGTCATTAAGGCGGAGCCCCGTCAGGAAGTGCTGTAGGCTGACTCCCTCTCATGCTTCGAACAGAAAAGACTGTGACAGTAGAAGTAGGCAACTTAACAGAGTGAATAACAAATTCTGTACCGCATTCAGACTACAACTCTGTCTCTCCTTGACATCAGCTAATGAGAAAAAATAGCTTCTCAAGTTTCAGATGGTAGGTTGGATAGCTTTTTTTCCAAGGTTATCTTTTGGCAGATGTTATAATTTAACTACAATGAAGAACTTTGGTTAAACGAAAACAGCGTAGATGATTTTACCATGTCATCATCTTTTCTTGTGTTTTACATCGCGGTAACGTCTCTGTTCTTTTCCTTGCAGGTTAAAAAACCAGAGGAAAGCTGTAGTCACAACAGTTGACAAGAAGATACCAAATGGCATCCTGGAGGAACAAGGTAACACTGTGAGACACATTGTAGGTTGTAGAGTTAAAACGTGGTGCACAGAAACAGAAACTTAAAGTGAAAAACAGGCTAGAGATTAAGATATGCATCGAAAAGGAGCTGCAAAGAGGTTTTATATTTGTAACTGTATATGCAGGTTGTCCCACCATTGCCTTGTGGTTGTTTTAAACTTCCTGTGGTTGATGTGAAAAACAAAACGCTCTATTATCTTTACCACTTTGTATAGCTTTTTGACAGCGTATGTAAGATTAGTTTGGAACATTATTGGTACAAAGGGTAGTTCTTCTCTCTGAGCAGTTTTTGACAACTTGTAGCGACATCATAATAGTTTCATGTAAAGTACCACATGACAGGAGCTATCAGCTCTTACAGGAAACTCGCTGAACTCACTGAACATGTTTCAATCTTCTTTTGGAAGTATATTTTTGTCTAACGCTACAGAGGAATGTAGAGAGCATGTTGTATTCATCCAAATGGGAAATAGTATATCACTGAGCTAAGGGGAAACAAAATACACAACACACCCCAAATTTGTTGTTATATCTTGTTGACATCTTGCTGCCGATCACAATAATTTTAAACATGAAACGGTGTCATATTACAAAAGTATTTTATATGAAACTGAAACTTTCACTCGATAGGGAAGTGTAGTACTTAATTGCTTTTTAATTCTAAATTCTACACGATTTGAAAGATTGATTAATTAAAGTAATATGTCTGTATAATGAAACTATAAAATATACACTGTATTGCTTTTTTTTTTTTTTTTTTTTAAATTTTATCGCTTATTGTTGTCTACATTCATTATACACTCACTGGTCACTTTATTAGGTATACTTTGCTAGTCTTTGGCTGGACTTCCTGTTGCTTTTAGAATGCTTTAATTCTTCATTGATTAGATTCAGCAAGGTGCCAGAAGCATTTTGATTTTGGCACCTTGCTGATGGCATCATACAGTTGTTGTTGACTTTTTGGCTGATGTGAATCTCCTGTTTCTTACATGCCAAACGTTTGCAACAGAATTGGGATCAGGTGACTGTGGAGGCCATTTAAGTACCGTGAATTCATTGTTATGTTCAAGAAACCAGTTATAGATGATTTGGGCTTTGTGACATTGCATGTTATCCTACTGGAAGCAGCCATTGGAAGATGGGTACAGTGTGGTCATAAAGACATAAACATGGTCAGCAATAATATTCAGGCAGACTGTGGCTTTTAAACAGTGGTAATTGGTACTAAGGAGCCCAAACTGCACCAAGAAAATATCCCACACAGCTTTACCAACCTGAATTGTTGATATAAGGCAGTATGGATCCATGCTTGTTGTTTGTGTTTGTTGTTCATGCCGTTTATGCCATCTTGACCCTACCATCCAAATATCATTGAAGTCCAGACTCATCATCCTCCATTGTCCAAATTTGGTAAGACTGTGTGAATTGTAGTAACAGTTTCCTGTTCTTAGCTGGCAGGAGTGACACTGTATATGATCTTTTGCTGCTGTAGTCTAGCTGCTTCAAGGTTCGACATTTTGTACGTTCAGACGTGATCTTCTGTGTACTTTGGTTGTAACAAGTGGTTCAGTTACTGTTGTTTTTCTATAAGCTTGAAATAATCAAGCCATTCTCCACTGACCTCTTAAATAAATGAGACATTTTACTCCAGAGAACTGCTGCTCAATGGATAATTTCTCCTATTTTGGACCATTATCTGTAAACCCTAGAGATGGTTGTGAGGGAAAAGACCAGCCCATCTGGCACTAGTAACCATGACACGTTCAAAATCTCAGAAATCACCTTTCTGATGCTCTTCCTGAATTTCAGAAGATTGTCTTAAGGATTTCTACATGCCTAAATGCACTGAGTTGCAGCCATGGGATTGGCTGATTAGATATTTGTTAATAAGCAGTTCAACAGGTGTACCTAACAAAGTGGCCTCTGAGTGTATATACATACAAGTTTTTTATTTGTACACAGTACATCTATGAGGATTACATTATCACAATGAATGAAATGCAATGCTTGATCACAGTGCTGTGTTGTCCTCTGTACATGTCTGTGTTACAAGTGATGTGATGTGTGTGTTATGTTTTAGAGCTTGGACACAGTACTGAGTCGTTATACACCATTATACCACCAGGTCAAGTATACAGGGTGGCAGTATCAGGAACCTTTTACTAACCCTCTCTCAGTACTTTTCCAGTCTGTATTTTGCAAATTGTGACGCTAACAGAATGCCTTGCCAGTGCGCTGGCAAACCTGTGGGATGGTGTAAATGGGTTCTCCCTGGGGTTCCTTTTGGGTTTTTTGGGTTTTAATGTCTGATGTGTGGTGATCATCCAGTACTTGCACTCTGTTTCCTGTTTAGCAAACACGCACCAGCATCACATATGGGTGAAAAGCAGTTTGGTCATGATTTTGTTTTTTGATTCATTGTAAAGCAGTTCAGTAAACTAATTCAGTGATTCCCAACCAGATATGCTTCAGTCCCAAGGTGCGCTATTGTAGACTGAACTAGTCTAGTCTTTTACTAAATAGCGTCAGACAGTCTTCAGAATATGTAATGCTATTTAATAGGCTAGAATAGTGTAAACAGCTAAAAGGAGTGGATAAATGGTCATAATACCACAAAGAAGTAGACAAATTGTTGAAATTACAGCTGAAAATAACGTTAGCAAGAGCTGAAATGCATGGCTAATAATTAAGCTGTCAACATAGTCAGCTAAAGGCAGCTAACAGATACACATTCAAGATGTCAGCTAAAAGGAGCTAGTATACCATTGAAATTATGGAAGTAACACTAGCAAATAAGTGCTTTAGCTATTTAAAGTGTTTAAGTAACTACAGCATGTGTCTAAAAGTAGCTAATAGACAGTCAAAATAGTTAGCCAATGAGATCTGATAAAATAAAGTATTAGCTATTAGTTAAACCAATGATTTGCCTAAAATTACTGATAAAATTAGAGTGGTAATCATACGGTGAACTGTAGAAAAAAACATATGAAACTAGTATATTGCATAATATTATATAGGTTGTGCAAAGTAACCCCCTAAAGTGAAATCAGTAATTGAGATATGATTCCCTTGCCACATGACAAAAAGGTTGGGAACCACTTTTCTAAATAAACCAAATCAAATGTTTTGCAACTACTCATTTAACATAGCTAAATATCACAGTGACACCAATTTGATTTATTAATAGCAGACAACTTTTAAATACTAAGCTGAATGATGCTAATGTAAATTTTATTTGAACACAACAAATAATTTAATGGCAAAATATTAAAACCAAACAAAGAAATCAGCTTAGGTTGGGTGATAAACCCACTGTCTCTTCTCCCCACAGAGCAACAGACGGTGGTTCTTCTGCCCAGATCCTCTTCTGCCTCCAAGACATACTTGCCCATCCCAGTTGACCACCTAGAGGAGGAATACAGGCTCCGCTCAGCTGATGATGGCAAGCTGTTCAGGGAGGAGTACAATGTAAGCCGCCCCACTTCTATTTTTTTTTTTTTTCCTGGAAGTTAGATTAGCGGTAGTTAACGGTAGTCACAAAGCAGTTTTGTGTGGTTTAAACAATCAGAGTGATGCTTACATCAGGCATGTGAGGCAGGGCTATTATGTGCATTCATGTGCATTTGTAGGTCTGTTGAAATATTGGTTCACTTTTTTCCTTTTTTAAACACACTGCAAGTGCCTCCCCACCTCTAATTCTATGCATGATTTACCAGTGAAATTTAGTTACTTACATTTTAAACCTTCACGCAGTGTTACTCAGTAACACTGTGTGAAATGATTTACAATGGTCAAACTTCGTCATATCTGTGTTGTGGCAACAAAACTATCACAAACTATCCAAAACTGGACTGAAAGGGTTTTCCCATAACTGTAATGTTCTCCATGTTCATATGTGAGCAAGAGTTCAAAACCATGACTTACATGTGTATTTTTGTTCAGGGAAAACTACGGGAGCTTTATTTATTGCACCTCCCATGACACATAACTGATCTGATACTGGTCTGATACATATACCCACACAGATGGAAAAAATACCCCTTCGTCTATATGTGTCTATGATTTAGAATTTGTGTCAAAATAAAGAGTATGATTCATGCTTTATGTTAACACATTGAAGTATGATTTCATTTAGATGGTTTATCAGTACAGACAGAGGAAGCTGAAGTTCTCAGCTTTTAATGGAGAACTGTTTATGGCAGGCAGCAGAGGAAGTGCCTACACTAAGGCTGAACAAAGCCTTGCATAGAGCAGAACACAATGCACTGGCCGTGAGCTGCTGACGAATCATTTTTCATTATGTGCGCGTATATTCAAAACTATCATTTTATTTTGCAGTCCTTGCCAGGGGGTAATCCCCAAGGGACATACGAAGAAGCAAACAAGGAAGAAAATAAGGAGAAGAACAGATACCCCAACATCCTTCCCTGTGAGTATACTTTCTGTTCAGTTTTCTGAGTCACACCTACAAGCTTCCTGTCCCATGTGTCACATGCCTCAAACACTCTTGTTTCCCTTGCTACAGTAGATTCTTCAGAAGAGTTTGTGTGTGCAGTTGCAATGAAGTGGTTTCATCACAAATCTTTTTTACTTGCGGTTTCTGCTGTATTTTCACAATGCATCACGGTTTAGGTTTTTTTAAACTGTTCTTCACCTTAAATAAATGGTTTGAATTCCATGGAAACATGTTCATTTGCTTTCAAGGCAAGAGCTACCACTTATTTTAATACAAACCTTCTAGTCACCCTATCACAAAGACTTGAAATATATACTTCCTATACTTTTACGGAGCCATGTTTCTATTTTTGGACTCTTCAGAATAATCCTCATCCTCATCTTGGCCTTGGTGTAGCTCCACCCCCCACCCAGCTGTATTATGATTGGCTGCACCTTGCAAACTGAAAGTTTGAACAGCAGGTTGGAGGGGCTGCTGTGCTGACACAGTCAGAGCTATGACCACGTTAAAGACAGATTAGTGATTGTTGGAAGCCAGATTTGTGAAATACAGGTTTTATAGAATTTATAATGAGACTAGGTTTGCCCAAGAGCCACAGATGAATAGTATAAAATATAAATAATTGCTTAATTTCAAGGGGAAGTGGTAAACAAATTTGTAAGAACAAAGGTGGTTACATTCTACGGTTCTTATGTCATAGCGTTTCATATAGTCCTTGCTGTGTTAGCTCTGCAGATCAGTAATCACAGTACGTCTCTGTGCTATCAACAAGCAGCTGCGTTGTCTCTGCAGAGCCAAAACATCCAATTCCATCAAAAACACTCAGGTCACTGTACTTCAACAGACTCCACTGAGAGAAAACTGTTTCAGGCCTTCTTAAATGGAGACCAAATACCAAAATGATGACATTGGGAATCACTTGAACATACACTGAGTGCAGCATTTTCAGCTTTCTCCGGGTTTAAGGGAATACAGGTCTGCTGTAAATATATACAAATAGTGTAAACAAATGACAGTAAACCAGAAGAGCCTTAAAAAAGTTACTGCTTGTTTAAAGGCTTAATGCCAAATTAGTCAGGCAGTCTGCTGATTGTGGCTTCAGACTGCACAGACATGCTTTAATCTTCTCATCCAGCCATCTCCAAGAAAGCAAAAGTATATTTCTCAATATATATATTTTATAATCATTTTTAATAATGTAGTAATGATACACATTGTAAACTGATTTAAAAGTTACATTTTTGCTAAATTTGTGGTACTTTTCATTGCAGATGATCATTCTAGAGTGGTGTTAACAGAGCTGGAGGGAAATCCCTGTTCAGACTATGTGAATGCCTCTTACATTGATGTGAGTCCTTTTTTGTGCCAAAATAGTGAATTTGAGCTTGAACTCTTGAGCATTTAAATACTTGTCTGATCTCTACCATTTCAGGTGAAAAACAGTGAAGATTATTAATCCTATATTTATTTTTGATTTTTAAAAAAATAGGGTTTCACGGAAAAGAACAAATTCATAGGCGCACAAGGTAAGCTATAGGGCATTTAGAAACATGACATAATTATCTCTCTATATATTTTTAGTTTTAAATTGTGGTTTAATTAAATTTTTCTTGGGGGGGGGGGGGGATCTGTTAGGTCCAAAAGAAGACACCGTAGCAGATTTCTGGCGGATGATTTGGGAGCAGAAAGTATCAACCGTTGTTATGTTGACAAATCTGAAAGAAAGAAAAGAAGTAAGTGATTTTAAACGTTGTTCATAACGGGAGTGCTTCAGTTGTCATGTGGTCTCTACAGCTATAACTACAGTGTTTGCTTCTTCCACCAACTCTCGTCTCTAACAGCATTTTGGACAAGGGAAGTGAAAAGTAAAGTTTCCCTTAAGCACATTTAAATATAGATTTCATTGGTTGTGGTCAAAGGTGGTGTCAGATGATGTTATCTTGTCTGACGCCTGTTTCTCTGCTACATGTTAAGGGAAAAAGTATTTTCCCTGTTCCTGATTTCCTGATTTCTTATTTACTTTCTTATTGTTGCACTTACATGTTTTGTATCAAAAAATTTCCATATTAAACAAAAATAACCGGATTAAATACAAAATGTAGTTTTGAATTTATTAAGGAAAAAAAAAGCTATCCAAACCTACCTGGCTCTATGTGAGAAATGGTTGACTGTTGATCTACTTAGAAAATGCTGCAATGTTTTTATACAATATGTAACTGTACACAAACTTTACAAAACGTTTGCACTGGATAGTGTCTTTCTTATATCTTCCCTCATCTTGAACACTGACCTTAACTGAAGCAAGTGAGGCCTGCAGTTCTTTAAATGTTGCTCGGGATATTTTTATGACATCTTCGATGAGTCTGCGATGTGCACTCGGAGTACTTTTGGTAGGCCACCCACTTCTGGGAAGGTTCATGACTGTTACAAGTTTTCTCCACTTGTGAATAATGGTTCACTGGAGTCACAAAGCCTTAGAAATGGCTTTGTAACCTTTTCCAGACTGATATATGCTTCTTTAGATCGTAGCATGATGCTCTCAGCGTACCACATTTTATTAAACAGGTTCTATTTAAGGTATTTCTTGATTCAATTACTTTTTCACACGTGGTGAGGTACGTTTTTATAGCTTTTTTCCTTAATAAATGGAATGAGGTTTTAATCATTATTTTAACAACTGCATTTTGTATTTACTTGGATTATTGTTGTCTAACATTAAAGATTTTTTTGATCTGAAGTAGGGTAAATATGCAAAACACTAAAATCAGGAAGCGGGTAAATACTTTTTCACAGCACAGTACTTGAAGTGTTTTTACTGTGAGCAAAGGCGACTTTATTAACAAAGGATTGATAAAAATAGGGAAGTATTAAAAAGGGTGTTAATGTGTTCAAATCAGCTGTCATATAACGTGTGAGATAAAGTCGTCCAAGGTAGTATCATAATCAAGTAAAAATAGATATGGAGTGGTTTCACCGCTCTCATATACTAACTGCTTGCTTACAGATGGAAGTCATGCAAGTTACCCGTTTGTCTTAATAAAGGAAACTTTTTTAGATGTGTCACAGACAGTTGCTTTGATCATTTATTCATTACAGCACAGCGTCTCCGTGGTTATAGAAAGAGGGTCCTGGGTTTGAGCCAGGTTTCTCTGGGAGATTTGGTTTTCTCCTGCCATCAAAAACATGCTAATCGTGTTAATTTCCATCACTGCACCACTTACAAAGACACAGCTTTATATTTAAGATGGCAAAAGCCAGAGAATCAGTTTTGCTATGTAGATCAGTAAAAATGAATACTAATATTAATGGATATCATCTCTCTGCAGGACAAATGTTACCAGTACTGGCCAGACCAGGGTTGTTGGACTTACGGAAATGTGAGGGTAGCGGTCGATGACTTCACAGTCCTGGTGGATTACACCATACGCAAGTTCTGTGTGCAATATGTAAGTTTTGACCATTGACTCTGTTATTATTGCACATAGTATGCATACATTATAAATTGTGGTTATTTTTTTCTGATAGCAAATATATCCAGAACTATGGATAAAATCAATTGCCACCATGACGCTGGTTAGCGTTAACAGCTTCCTGTCTAGTCTTTAAACTCAATTCATAACACTCAATAGTAGCACTTGTCAGCAACACTTGGCTAGAATTAAACAAAGTTTCACCACTCATAATAAACCAGAATCCATCCATTATCACGGCAATATATTGTATTTATCACCACCCATCCAGATTTACCAATCCCATAAAACAACCAATCTTTTGCTAAGTGGTACTGGGAACTGAAATCTCACGAACAGTTTTCTTAACACTTTCACAAAAACCTTGCACTTTGTCATGCAACCACAGAACATAAATGAAATTCCCCTTTTGAGACTTACATCGCTAACAGATTGGAGTAGCAAATGAAACTGGAAAAGATTTGTACTTACTTTTTGTGATATTGCTTTGATATACTTAATAACTACTTTTAACCATTTAATGTCATGTTAATGTAGTTTTCCCAAGTATTCTTAGGGGTAACATGGTTCTGTTACCCATATGCTGAAATAACATAGTAATACACTAAAGCCTTATGACGCTTCCCATAACTTAGTAGAACTCTATCCAGACATTCTACTTATTTTGGAGCCACTGTAACAGATCCAAAGATCCCCAACAGAAAATGATAAAGCTGCAAGTATATGAAAAACTAAAATTACTCTAGACTGCTGCAAGGATTTCAGTGCACCATTATAATATATAAATCCCCCCAAACTCTAATACTCTTATTAAGCCATTCCTTCCAGTAGTAGGGGTGGATTTACCTACATATAATTTTGGGCTCTACTAAATACTAGATGATACATTAAATATGAAGTCAAACAGTCGGACCACTTTGACCCAAATTCGTCTTAGAGGAACAATTATTGGGTTTGTTTTTGCTTCCCTAGCTGGTTTGGGAGTAAGACAGAGTTGATAATGATCTTCAACAGAATGCTCAACCAACAAGAGATAATGGCTTTTCCCCCCTCTTGTGTCTATTTAGCAGGCCAGTGACGCCGCTAAGACTCCCCGCCTGGTCACCCAGCTCCATTTCACCAGCTGGCCTGACTTTGGAGTTCCTTTCTCGCCAATTGGAATGCTCAAATTTCTCAAAAAGGTCAAGTCAGTAAATCCAGACTTCGCTGGGCCCATTGTGGTCCACTGCAGGTATGCGAGAGCTGAGCTAATGTAGCCTAATGTTCAGTATTTTACTGTTTACTCCTAATGGTTTTAATTATCCAATTTGTTTCTGTGGAGATCAGTGTATTATGCTTAAAAATCCCCTTTGTATGTGTGTGGGCAAGCAATCTCTCTGCTAAAGATGGAAACATTTGGAGTGACTATTGCAATACATGTGTTTACAAGCACAGATGTTGCTTTGTTCCCTCCTGATGTCTGTTAACGTGCTAGTGTCAGCTGAGGATTATGGTTCACTCAGCTCAGTGTGTCATTTGTTTTCCATCTCCAGTGCTGGTGTTGGGAGGACGGGAACCTTCATTGTAATAGATGCCATGATTGAAATGATGCACGCAGAGCAGAAAATTGACGTATTTGGGTTTGTCTCCAAGATACGAGAGCAGCGCTCGCAACTCATCCAGACAGATGTGAGTTGGGGAAGGATTATGTTAGCCACATGACGTAACGCTAACACCTGGCATGTGTGTGGGACATGTGAATTATCCTTTACAGTAAATCATCTGCAACTAGGCCCATGCATAGTGTGTGTTATTCATCTGTGTGTATTTTCACTCCAGATGCAGTACTCATTCATCTATCAGGCCTTGCTTGAATACTACCTCTATGGAGACACAGAACTGGATGTTTCTTCTCTGGAAGGTCATCTGCAGAAACTGCACAACACCTTTAATGATGGTGATCGGATTGGCCTGGAGGAAGAGTTTAAGGTAGAACCTCTTTTTACATTCAGACCCATAAAGGATCCCATCTAACAAACGCTCACACAATATTACAGACTAAACTTAGAAATCTCTAAAGAAAACCTAACAAAAATGCAGTTGTTTCTTTATTAGTCATTTTAACTTATTAAGCTTTTTATTTGTCAGTTATTGAAACACTTTTCATAAATGTTATGAAGCATGTGAAGGTTCTGGAAACTATGAACCTGCCCACGCAGGCACTAAAAATATACACTAATAATCAATGCAAAAGAAATTCTAGCTTTTTCAATCCCCTTCAGTCATATCACTTCTAAGAACATATAGTGCAGTCAAAAGGTACTTAGCTTCTTCCCCAGTTCTTTCTTTTTTTTTTTTGCATATTTGTCACATGTTTCATATCAAACAGATCAAGCAAATTTTGATGATCTGAAACCACTCTTCTTCAAAATCAGCAAAGAAGACCAACTCATTGCAAATGATCACAAATGGTCAAAGTCCGTTATTAGGTTTAGACAAGACACGTACACATAGATAGCTGGTTTACTCTTAATAAATGAAATCATGATGTAAAACTGCCTTTTTATTTCCTTTGGTTATCTTTGTCTAAACGTATCTGAAATATGTGAAAGAAAAAAAAACAAAAATCAGCACACCACTGCACATATAAACCTGACTTGCATACATTCCTCTATTGCTGCATGAGAATTCAATTGTGCTACAGAATGGTCATTATGATTTATCATCAATACTGCAGCTTAGTTTATTTCCCCTGTTTTGATTCATAAACCAAAGGACGGTGAATATTTTATAAAGTTGTAACATTTAGATTTTCCTTGTTTAGAAACTGACTAACATGCGCATAATGAAAGAGAACATGAGAACAGGAAACCTCCCAGCCAACATGAAGAAGAACAGAGTTCTGCAAATTATTCCCTGTAAGTAAGATGAAATCCATATAAATAACCAACTTATGTCAAATTTTGAGCTGCAGATTACATTGCCTGCAGCTGCCTTTAGAATGTTTTTCTAATTCTGTCCCTTGCAATACTTACAATACCATACTACTAATGTAAACATGTTTTTGAGTTTAATCTGCGTGTTCATGATGTACTGTTTCCATTTCAGATGACTTCAACAGAGTAATTCTTTCCATGAGAAGAGGTCAAGAGTACACAGACTATGTCAATGCGTCTTTTATAGATGTGAGCATATTGTATTTCCTAATTTGTTCTTTCTGAGGTTTTAAGGTATTTGTGTTAACACAAATAATTGTACCGATGAAGCTTTATATTATACTGATAAAGTCCTTTATATTTTGATTTGACTCAGGGCTACAGACACAAGGACTACTACATTGCCACACAGGGCCCTCTGCAGCACACAGTGGAGGATTTTTGGAGAATGGTGTGGGAGTGGAAATGTCACTCCATAGTCATGCTCACTGAGCTCCAGGAGAGGGAGCAGGTAAGCTGCAGTAACTAATCGCTGCAAGCCAGCTATGATTGATGGCTTTAATAAACACAATAAATACACACAACATAAAACGTCCCAGTTCTGATTTCCTGCCTTTGTCATGAAACTGTACATTTATTTAAGTTCATATTTATGAAGTATTTAACTTGTTAAACTACAGTTTCTTTTATTCATCGCTGTGAGTAAACAAATGTTCATCTGTTTTGCAGGACAAATGTTGCCAGTACTGGCCGACAGAGGACTCAGTCTCCTATGGAGACTACACAGTAGAGCTAAAGGGAGACACCCTGTGTGAAACCTTTAGCCTACGAGACTTGGTACTCACCTTTGTTCCGGTAAGCAAATTAAACCTGTCCTATCAATACAGGCAAATGTAACACGCCTGCTCTGCATCTTTATCAGTTATCGTGAAATAAAGGCTTTTATTGATCCTTCATGCAATTCCTTTATATAAAATAATTGGTTTTTAGAATATGAAAATTGAACAAGTGTCACAACACAACATAAAATAACTCCATTACAACTTCTGAATTCTTACCCAATAATAATAATGGATTGGATTTATACAACGCTTTTCAAGGCACCCAAAGCACTTTACAATGCCACTATTCATTCACTCTCACATTCACACACTGGTGGAGGCAAGCTACGGTTGTAGCCACAGCTGCCCTGGGGTAGACTGACAGAGGCGAGGCTGCCATATCGCGCCATCGGCCCTTTGGCCAACACCAGTAGGCGGTAGGGTAAAGTGTCTTGCCCAAGGACACAACGACCAGGACAAAGAGCCCGGGGATCGAACCGGCGACCTTCCGGTTACAGATGCGCTTCCCAACCCCCTGAGCCACGGGGCGACTGTGGCTCAGGGGTATCAAATAAATAAGGATAAGGATATAAAATTAAAAAATAAATAATTAAAAGCATCTTGCCATTAGCACGTCTTAAAATTAGGCAAATAGGACCTCAGATGAACACTACCACGTTATTTACACCACGTCATTTAAAGAAAACTAAGCCAAACTGTAGAAACAGTCGGTAAAATAACTAAGAATCATTTTCAGAATGGTTCTTAGTCATCAATCATACACTTTCTGTATGATTTTTTTTTTAAGCCAATCACTTTTAGAATATCTGCTGTGCATGAGCTAATGTGGCTCCAGCTTTAGCTTTTGAGCAGATGTCCTCATGTTATGAATTTGCTGGGAGATCCACTGGTGGGAAGATTGGTGGCTGTGTTGAATGTTGTGATCTAAAGTTTGACAGAGAGATACCGATAATGATTTGGTGATTTTCTTTCTTTTTTCTTCTTCTTTTTTTTAAGAAAGTCAATATATCTGAAGATAATTTTTTACCTTTTACAGACGTGAAACAAACAGATTTGTTTCATTCATTGGTCCTTACTAAGACGATATAGTGATGCAGTTTAAAAATACTACCGTTTTATTGACACAACGTTATGAATTACAGAGAATATGTGTGTACCCTCTGGTGGACAAACTATGTATTGTCTCGTTTCATTTATCGAGTGTTTTAAATGCTAAAACCAATAACAGCAGCAATCTCTCTCACTGTAGTTTAGTGTTTGTAAATGAACTTATAGCCCTTCCCAGCAGCAGCTGCTTACCTAAGATCCCTGCTGATGTTTTGTCATGTATGCTTGTATTTACCCGATTTTCAAACCTCTTACGGACAAGGTTTTTTTTTCTATTATGTCCTGATACATAAAACCTTAAAACTGAATAAAGGTGTACTATATATTTTTTAAATTGCTGTATTGCAATGATTTTCAAATCATTTAAACTACAGATGTGAGTGAAAATGGTATAAAGATATCAACAAGTGAAATGACAGATTAGTTGCTTAGTAGAGTGTTAGTTAAAAGATGAGTAGGATTTTTTTTAGAAAGTTGAAAGTATTTTTATCTTTGTAAAGCTAGACAGGCTCTAATACAATTGGCTAACAGCAACAAATCTCTAAGTGAGTATATCGAGCTCTCTGGGCTGCCAGAGGGAAAAATAAGGATAGGAAGTGTTTAGGGTTATCAAGCGGGAGCCTCCCATTTCATATATTTTATTTAATTCGACCCGCCTCACCTCCCAGAGGCTTTGTAGTACATTCCTGCCTCCCTGGGCCTCACCCATATGTCCACCACTCGTCTGCTGCACGTTTCACCTGTACTGACGTCACACTTGCCATTACGCTTTCATATGCTGCTAATAAATCATATTTGAACGATATTATGATCTCTCAACCGTCTGTGGGTTTCCTCTCAAAGGAGAAGCAGACAAGGATGATCAGGCACTTCCACTTCCACGGCTGGCCAGAGATCGGAATCCCGGCCGAGGGGAAAGGCATGATCGACATTATCGCCGCAGTGCAGAAACAGCAGCAGCAGTCTGGGAACCACCCCATTGTTGTACACTGCAGGTACAACACATAGAACTCTATTCATATAAATATTATATACACTTACCTTGTCACATTTGTTGTCTTCTTTTTTATCTGACAATATAAAATATAGAAGGATTTTTGCATTGCAAACACTGTTCGTGCTTTGTGTGTCCTGCAGTGCTGGTGCAGGGCGAACAGGTACGTTCATTGCACTGAGCAATATCTTGGAGCGAGTCAAGGCAGAAGGCCTGCTGGACGTGTTTCAAACTGTGAAGAGTTTACGCATGCAGAGGCCTCACATGGTCCAAACAGTGGTGAGTGGTTCCCAAGTATTTAAAAGCACTAGAAAAATGTCTCGCTTTAGCTCGAGTGTCGCTGATTTTGTAGGCAATTATGTGTCCATCTTTAACCATCTTTTTTGTTTTCTTTCCGTCCCACAGGAACAATATGACTTCTGCTACAGGGTGGTACAAGACTTTGTTGACATTTTCTCAGACTATGCCAATTTTAAATGATGAGATTTGCCTTAAACACGGTTTTTAAATGTTGTTTTCTAAAGCCAGTTTGTCAGTTTTATGCGTTTCCTTAACTTGGTTAAAATAATCTTCTATTTTGCTATGCACTTGTCCTACCATTAACTCCAGCTCCTTTCTCGCTGTAATATATGGTATGTCAGTCGATGAGAATTGTAAATGAAAAAGCTAGATTAATAATGTATATTTCACAACATGTATGATCATTTCTTCATCATGAAGTGTTGTTTCAGAGTCCGATTTTAGTTTTGTTGTATAATATTGTACTTTAAATGTTTGTGTTATTTTGGATTGACCACATAATATTTTTAAAAGCTGTAGTTATTGTAAATGTATTTATGTATTGACAATGACATTCCTTTCTTTTATTTGGAGAAGATGGCAGGAATGTTAATATTTGTTTTATGTTGTAGTTAATTGTACACATACATTCTTTCATTTTGATGACTTCTGAGATTAGAGGTGATACTGAAACTGTTTTTCATTCTCCTCGAGCTACATGGCCATCACGATTGTGATGCTTTTTCCAATGGAAACGGTGTCTGAAAATGAATGAATGAATCACATCAACCATAATGCAGAGGGCATAAAGTTACGCACCAAAGGCTGAGGTGACGATACATAGGTTTTAGTTTGTTTTTTTAAAATATGGACTGAGGCAGAAGTTCAACAGACGTAGCAGAATCGCAAAAGATTCTTAAACTTTAACGTTTTGTACCTCAAAAGGTCGTGTAACTGCAGTGAACATGGATGTAACATAACTAGAGTCTGCCTTTTGTCTGTAGACAGCAAAAAGCATTTTGCTAAAGTGGCTGCACATTAACAAGCACACAACTAAGCCTTTTACCAAGAACCTGTAATACTGAAGAGCATGTTTACTGCTTTATTTGTATTTTAGACTAGAGTTTTACACAAATTAGTGCCATATGTACTTTTTAAAGACAGGAAGTGTGGTCTCCAAATGTAGTAATTGCAGTATAATTTTACGATGCACAGTCACTATACAGGGAAGTAATAGAAGTTCATCATTAATCCTCAGTCCTGTAATGGCAAAAACCACAATATACCAATGTGGTGCTTCAGTGCCTGTCTAATGCCAGAGAAACAAAAACAGCCCATTATATCTACGTCTACTTCTTTGACATCTTTTAGATTCCATTGGTTTGTTTTGGCACAGTGGTAAAAATGAGGAAGCAGAATGTTTTAAATAAAAACTGTCCAGTGGAGTTTGAGTCTTTTGAAAGTATCTGAATGTTTGAGCTTTTCTGTGCATTTTTCTGAGGTAAATCCATCTGGTACTCCATTAGCAATTTTGTTGATGCTGTATGTAAATATAGGCTGACATGACAAAGTGCTAACATTGTGAAATTCGCTGAACAGCAAGAACCTGTCAAGTGATTGGTCATATTTTCGTGCGCTAAATGTATATGTCTGTGGGAGATGTGAGGTTAAGCACAAGAAACAACCCAAGTCTATTTTTCCCATGGCTCCTTTTCTGTCCGTGCACCCTTTTTGAGAAACTCGAGGAGAGGCTGTTTAACCTACAGCTCTGCCTTTGCTATCTCTGTGGGTGGCCTATCCCTTTTTTGACTCTCAGTGTCTTTGAAATGCAAATTGCAATATTAAAATCTTCTGAAAATGCTGCGGGTGTCTCAAAAAAATGTCTTCAATATGCAACAGCTTTTATGTTTCATTTCAAATTTAGGTGAGATACACAGGAGACAGCTTAAGCTGCCAGTTTGGTTTGTTTGTTTTGCTTTTGAATCAGTGACAGCGGGGTGTTCTTAATGCGATATTTGTGTGGAGAAAATGCTGCATTCACTCTACATAACAGAGTTGCACTTTAACTGTAAATTAGTACTATAACTTTCATATCAACTATTTGCCATGGTTTTTACACATAATTATATGTTGTATCTTACTTCTAAAAAAACAAAACAAAAAAACCCCACACAACCCAAAAACTATTAATCTACCTAGCTCAAGCTCAGGAGATAGAGCAGATCATCTACTACTCAGATTGGTGGTTCGATCCCTGGCTGTTACAGTACACATGCCAAATATCCTGTGGAAAGGTACTGACCCCAAGTTGCTCTCTGAAGGAATGTGTGTGAATGTTTGACTCTTGTATGAATGTGAACGTATGATTGAGGCATGTTGTATAGAGCACTTTGGACTGGTTCCTAGAGCCCTGGATGTCTGCACAACAATAGGCATTTCCCAGCATACATTTTTACTTAAAGCAGGAAAAACATATAAACACTGGCCACTTCATTAGGTACTCCTTTTCAACTGCTCCTTAATGTAAATATCTAACTCGGCCAACCACGTGGGAGGCACTCAGTGTGAACTGAGAATCAGAATATAGACGAGGGGTGATTTAAGTGACTCTGAATGTGATGGTGCCAGACAGGCCAGTCTGAGTATTTCAGAAACTGCTGATCTGAGTTGTCAGAGACAATTCCTTGTTTAATTCAGAGAAGCATGGATTGATTAGTTCAAGATGACAGGAAGGCAACATACAGGAAGGCCATGACGTTAACGCCATTTTATGTGAATCGTAAGACAATAAAAATTTCTAAGTGTGCAGTTTACCTTCTCTTTTTAAGCAACAGTGGAGACATACCACAGACGAACACTAGCCACTGATATGCAGACATCAGAGAAAAACTGTAATGTCAATGTCTATACAAAAGACTGTTTAAGAAAAGAAAGCGAAAACCTCAAACTAATTCAAAACATACACAGTAACAAAGAGGTTTTGTTTGTCCCTCCTTACTCTTCCTACACTTCCATTCTATAAACAATGAAAAAAGTCAGATTTTTTTAACTTGTATATTTAGTTTAAGCCAACAGGGGGCAGTACGCCTCAATCTATATGTAAAGAGTTTTTAATTAAAGGGGCCATTGATCCCCATTAACTGTAACTGCACATCATCAAAAAAGAAACTACAACAAGCTACACATAGGCATACAACACCATACCAAAAACATATGTAAAACAAACAAAACAGCTCCTTACAACACAAATTATTCCCCATATCAGGGTGAGCATTGTGAAAATTATACATTTATTGCGATATCAATTCATGTTAACAATTTCTACCTGCAGTTACGAAAGTCATAGCAAATACATACATTTGAAAAACTATTTTTCCTTTTCTTACACCAAATTAAATTTTTTGGGTTTCCCGGGTTACTAGTTTGGGGCTAGAATAATCATATCCCTCTATGCTGTTATGTGCATTTCTGTACAAAATAATTGTGGGTATTAAAGCAATAATATTTTTCATCATTTTTCTTTTTCTATTTGGACTAAGCGGGGGAGATGTTATCAGAAGGAGTGCACAACTGGCTGGATGTCTCAAAGCTGTGAGCACAGTGCCAACACTCTGACTCTGTCCTATTGTTCTTTACTGAGTCCTCATTCAGTGTTTGCAGTCAAGTCCTGAAATAATACTGATAATGTGATTAATATTACTATTACACTCTGTAGAAATGGTCTGCTTTGATAGGGGACTTTTTTCTGCTTTCCTTCAGTGCGTCATTTCCTTCTTCTTCCTCACACAGTTGTACCGGTAAATCTCTATAGGAGACACCCACTTCCTGAGATCAACAGCAGACTTTTGGAATTTGCGAGTCATTGTGAAAATATCTCTGGTCTCTAACATGTTTTACAACATCACAGAAGCATGTTCTCTTAACGATGCAGTGAATGACGGTTTATCTTTTCACCCACAACTGCAGCAGCTCCTCTCTACTGGCCAATCACAGCAGCTCCTCCATCACTTACAAAGCCAAGAAACGATGTGCCTGTCATTTCTTTAGAAAATAACTCATGGCAAGGTTTTCAGCAGCCCTAGTGCATAACTTCATTACAGTTTCACACACGGCAGAAAACCCAGAGCAATATGCATATTTACAAATGTGGCACAATAACAGTATCTTTATTGACACACAGCTGGCTTGGGATCTAACAGTAAATAATGTTTTGTGTTCTACTACATCATACATGTAAGCTGTTACACACAGATTTCCGCTTTATGTGAAAAGAAAATTGTAATAAAGCACCTCTTCTCTTGATAAATGCACTCCAACTTAGTCTGAGGGCCATGCATGGTCCAATAATTTCAAACAGACTTCACATGTATACTGTTGCATCATCTGAATATGTAGAAATATTAGCCATATATATGGCTAATATTTCCGACTTTCTGGCATTCATGGTGTATGATATTTCACCAAAAACAGCAAAATAATTTCACTAACATTTTCCATTTCTAATAAAACATCTAACCAGGAAACTCTCTGAATGCTGTCTACAAATTTATGTTTAATTGAATCTCTAAAACATCTTTTATTTGATCCCGTTCTGGGTACTTCAGTTTTTGATCACCATTTATGATCACTACACCCAATTGCTACACATATTCCTCTGGAGTATAATTCTGTAACACTGGTAAAGATGTGCTCATTTCAAATAGAGATTTTGGTCCCATCTGCCGTATTATTGATAAAACATAGATAATGTGCATTTGCTAGTTAGAAGCTTCTTTAAATTTTTTTTTTTTAAAGGAAAAGCTCTGGGAAGTCTAATATTCAAGTCATAGATCTCATAATCAAGATGACACACCTGATCTAATATGTTACACATTGTATCCAGATGCAAGATGGATCTAGAGGTATAACAGAAACATAAAATATTTTTTTAAATTTCCAATACTGTTAATTTACAGCAGCTGTGGCATAAATATTGGACAAGGTGGTGGTTGCTTAAATTTGTTAAACTCTGTATGTGTGCTTACATAGCAAAAGGTTGCTGTCACCAGTCATTCAGGGAGGAGTAAAGTTAGGCTATTTTTGTCAAACAATTACATTTCCTATCCTTCAGAAAAAAACACAAGAGACAAAAAGCCTCTTTGTTGACAACTTCCTCGGGCAACCAGTGCCATGGTAACAATCCTCAGCGGGAAGAGTTGCTGCCCAAAAAAGGTCAGGATGAGTGAAGAAGTCACATGAATTATGTATTAACCCCCTAACTGACTCCATTACTTTGGTTGACCCCAAGCTAATTCTATTTTGTCATTCACAGTGCCTTCCATTTTCTTTCTAGTATAATATGGAACATGAGCCATTTACAAGCAGGATGACATGAGATGTGACCTCTCTGCTGAAATGCTTTCATATGTAGCTTTGGAAAATAACTTCTGATTATACTGAGTATGTGTCAAAAAAAAAGTCTTGTCACTAGTTCTGTCACTTTGTCCAAAACAAGCTCAAGTTCCTTTGAAAACATCTCCTGAACAAAGCAACTCTTTGAACCAACA